GGCGGAGCCAGCTGCCTATGGGCGGGGCAAGGAGAGCTTTCTGTCCCTGTTGCCAAGCAACAGCTCCCACCCAAGGCCCCACCAGTGGGTTCTCCCGGAACCCTACAAGCCCTACAAGCCCAGGCTCTCCAAATGCCGGCCTGGGGTGTCCGGCTGCGCAGCCTCTAGCACGGGTGGCTTTTACATTTTTAAATTAAATAAAGTTTAGAATCAGTCCCCTGCTCACAAATCACTGCATTTCAGGGGGTTGACAGCTGCATGCGCCCAAGGACACGGCGCTGGGAAGGGCAGGCGGAGGGCATTTATGTGCTCGAGGAAAGTTCTGGGGATGCGCTGGTCAACGCCAGTCTGCGGCAGTCGCCGGGCCACCAGGGCTTTCTTGCAAAAGGCAAACTTTGTCATTTCAAACCGAAGGTTCCGTGGGCGGAGGTCTACTGCGGGTCGGGGGAGCCACAAAGGACAAAGCGCCCAGCAACGCGCACTTCTCCTGGTGCCCACAGCTGACCCGGCTGAACAAGTGCGGCACCGGCCGCTCAGGAGCCCGCTCAGGAACCCGCTCAGCCTGGCTCCTTCCCAGCGACGCTGCAGCCCCAGAGGGCCCTGATCAACCCGGGTGAGCCTGACCTTGAACCTGTGGTCTGACCTAGTCCAATCACAGAGGGGGAGAAACGGCGACCCGCCTGAGGACAGAAGACGGGTCAAGGACAGGCCAGGACTAAAACTCCCACCCAAGTCCTCTCTGGCCAGCACAGCACATGCACCCATGACCCTTTGCGGCAAGACAGAGCCAACACTGGTGGACGGGGAGACACCCGGTCCAGCAGACAGGGGGTCGAAGGGGGCCATTCCCAGATGGAGAAACTGATGCTCAGGGAGGGATGCAGGCTCCCAGGCCAAGGTGATTTCCAGCACTTCAGTTGCCAGAGAGGACCCTGGAGCCCTCCCCACAGTCCCTGGGGTGAGCAGAGAACCCAGCGGGTTCAGGTCCCACTCCATTCTTTTCCCAGCTGTGTGATCTTGGACAAAGTGCTTTGCCTCTCTGAACCTTGATTTTTCTGCAATGTAAATAGTAGTCCTGCCTTAGGCAGAGAAGCACACACTCAAGAAAGGGTAAAGGTACAGGAATAAGCTGCCGAAGGGGATGGTGATCATGGTCCCTTCAGGTTAGTACACAGCTGTTTTTAACTTCCTCTTACACAAACCCACGGAAGGTGTTTGGATGTGCGGGCTGGGACGGGAGCCCAATCTGCCCCACCACAACCGTGGACTTGGGGGACTCTATTTTTGTAGCCCAAGAGATAAGAATTTTCATTTGACATTATTTAATGGTTGGAAAGCAGGAAGGCTGTTTCATAACAAATGAAAATTACATGAAATTCAGACTCCGGTGTTCCTAAGCAGAGCTGTGTCAGCCACGACACACCCGCCCGGGTACACGGCGGCCTCGCCTGCATGACCAGGTCGCAGTTAGGAAGCAGTGACAGAGACACTAGGGGCTGAAAACCCCCAGATATTCACAGCCTGACCCTGGACAGGAAGATGGGCGGGCCCTGCATTGGATGGTCAAATCACCCCCGTTTCACAGCCAAGGAAAACTGAGGCTGAGAGGGCAAGGGTGGGGCACAAGGCCCCATAGGGAGGGGGGCTGCTGGGGTTCAGACTCTGGGAGAAAATGCTCCCCCTTGGATTCCACGACTGGAGACCCAGCGCTGGGCTCTCTCAGAGGCTGTGGACCCAGCTCTGATTTGGGTCACTTGCAGAAGGGACTAAGTCCAGCACTCTGTGCTGAGTCCCTCTAATACACTTGCAGAAGGGACTAAGTCCAGCACTCTGTGCTGAGTCCCTC